TGAAAAATTGGATTTTTCATATGTTTTACTATTGATCGACAAATTTCGGCCAATACTTTTTGGTAGTGAGTGTAGTTACGGTAATTTTGGTTACTGCGGTGTGCAAAAAATGCAATTGTTTAAAATTGCTACGAGCAAACCGATTAAATTATATCGACATAGCATTCTAACATTCATTAAGCTTTTTGAGACTCCAGCATACACTTAAATCTATGAGTATATTCCAGAAGCTTTGGCTTGTTTTATTTACATGACTTGAAGTTGGAAACAGAAAAAAGTTAAAAAAATCTTTTGCTAGTAAATAAAGCACTTTTCAGTTCATAGCAATTAAAACAGTCAAAGACTTACTTCGTTTTCTAAATATTGTAAGTTTTTTACTGTTATGCTATAAAAATTTTTTCCGAGTAATAATATAAATTTTTAAATTTTATAAACGCCAAAAATGAGCGAAAATGCGATTTTCAAGAAGACGCGGTATAAAACTATACACGAATAAAACAGCTTAAAACTTACAATAATTAAGAACCGATCAGTTATTATGTTTGTTATACAATGCATTCGGGCTAAAATCATAGACTTCTTGTAACATTTTATATAGACCTATGCCGGAAACATCTTACAGAGCTTTCAACAAGACAATGACCCAAGAGGCCTCGCTAAAATGTCTCTTCAAAATAAGTGCTTAAAGTTATGGATTAACCCTGACTTAAATCTAATAAAGAATCTCTAGAGCGGTTTTATTAAGGCTAGAGTTTGATCAATGAGACGCGAGCTTGTCATAAAGGGGACAATGAATTCAATGAAAACAGCTGGTTTTAGCTTTCAAATGCGTAAAATTTATTGTCACGTTTACTTGGTGATCAATACTTTTTGGACCATTTTCATGTTAACACGTGTAACATACTAATACTGTAAATTAGATCTACATAGTAATAGTGAACACGAATAAATATTTTAGAATTTTAACACGCTGGCTGCATTGACCGACTTACACCTTATCGAGAATTTCTAAATAGCGGGAAGGAGAAAATTTTAGCAGAAAAGTGGGATTTGATTGTGTATGCAGAAATTTAATACAGAATACGTATGAAGTTTAATATTAATATTCTTAATTAAATTATTATTTTAACAATTGCTGTAAATTTATCGTCGTTACAAAACGAAAACAAAAATATTAATATCGCTCCATTTAATTTATAAAAGTACAATATTTTGGTCAAAGTATTGTTACGGCGAGGCTGCCGGATGAATAATGACAGAATCACAAAGTTAAGCACGCGTTCCCAATGTAACTAAATTATTTCCAAAAACCAGACACGGGCGCAGCAAAAACGGGCAGTTATAATTTTTTTTCTCTTCAAGCGTATAGTTTTAACTAATAGACAATTGCAGTGCACGCCTTTATTTTACCTCTCGGTTGACATAACTTGAAATAATGAAGTTAAGATTGAGAATATGGTGAAACATGAAACAGTTATCCATCATTTCTTATATGGAGACTGTTGGTGTTATAGTGCGGAAAGTTTCGAACCGTACAATCTAGACTGTTTAAACGGTAAAACGTGACGAACATAATAACTAGTCAAAACGCCAAATCGAACTTGGGTTCTAATTAAAATTAGGTGTGAGTATTAGATTGTTAATCTTCGACATCTAATCAGTTGTATATACTTTCAATTTCCAGTAAGAGTACAGAGGTTTCAGCGTGATGTTTGGTATAAACCAGCTATGTGAGAATATTGTTTTATTAGAATCAGATAGTTAAAAAGTTCGCAAGCTTGTATACAACCATCAATATTTATTCTTCTGATATGGTAAATAAAAACGGTAAAGAATTGGAAATCATATTTAGAAGCAATTGGATAACGTCTGAAGCGCTGACACTTGCTTCATATTCTTACATAGTAAACACGGGCAATGATTTCACTATTGAGGATGTGGTTTTTAGTGAGCATTTTGTACCCAGCGATAGTTGCATATCTAATAGATAAAATATTACTTGTCCAAAAGAAAGCAGTGTTTGTATGCTTTTGAGATGTGGAATTAATAAAGGAATATCCGATTTAACGAAATACAATGCAAATTTTTGGTGGCACTGTCCCACTAATCGAATTCGCGCATAATAACAAGAACAATCAATCAGTCGTCAGGCTCGCAAGCCCTTGTCCCTCAAAAAAAAATTACATTCGCCGAACATCTTTACTTTAGACTTTAGTCCAGCCTATAAACTTTCGTAAAGATGTCCAGTAGCAGGAACTCACATCATAGAAAGCTAAATTTCAACGTCGGAGAGAATTATGAAGTGCTGGACGTGGTCGGTGAGGGTGCCTACGGTGTTGTATGGTATGTATTAAAGGACGATTGTTCTTTATTTGGATTGCAGTCACAAACCCACTATTGTCACTTGCAATCGTCGAAGGCATGATCAAAGGCCTTCGAGTGTAGAAGATGGAAGTTTTGAACACTCAATCCACCGAGATTTGATTGTTCGAATTTCCAGCAAAGAAGTAATTCACCCCACTTCAAACTTGTTAACTTTCTATCCGCCAAACGGCGCTGGATGCTTTTAGCTCTGCTGTGCATAAACCGTCGGGTCAAAAAGTTGCCATAAAGAAGATAACTCCCTTTGATCATTCAATGTTCTGCTTGCGTACTCTTCGCGAAATAAAGCTCTTACGCTACTTCAATCATGAAAATGTGAGTACGGCAACAGTATTTATTATTTATTTTTCCGTCCTTCTCTTTTCATAACATCAGCACTAACCTAGGCTCTCAAATTGAATTAGATTATAGCTATTTTGGATGTCGTGAAACCTGAAAGTTTAGAAAAATTCAGCGAAGTGTAGGTTATTTCGCGTTCGTATTGCATTCAATCTTTTCTTCAAAATTTATGCTTTGATATTGTTAGGTACCTTATACAAGAACTTATGGAAACTGATATGCATCGTGTTATTCGCACCCAAGAGTTGAGCGATGATCATTGTCAATACTTCATTTATCAAACCCTTCGTGCTTTAAAAGCTTTGCATTCCGCAAATGTTTTGCACCGCGATCTGAAGCCAAGCAATTTACTTTTGAATGCCAATTGTGATCTGAAGGTTGTTAAAATTTGCGTTTGTGCTCATCGCAATGTCTCAAGTTAATGGACTTTACTTCTCCAATGAAAGGTCTGTGATTTTGGTCTTGCTAGGAGCGCAAATTCTAGCGATGAACATAGCGGTTTTATGACCGAATATGTGGCCACTCGATGGTATCGTGCGCCAGAGATTATGCTCACCTTCAAGGAATATACGAAGGCAATCGATGTTTGGTCCGTCGGCTGCATCCTAGCGGAGATGTTAAGCGGAAAGCCATTATTTCCTGGGAGAGATTGTATCCTTTGTCGTTATTAAATTTTCTAATACAACGGATGTTTCATATCTTAACTCGGTCTTTGATGTTTATTCACATAGATCACCACCAGCTTACCCTGATTCTAGACGTTCTGGGAACACCCACCATGGAAGATTTCTATGGTATTAAAAGCAGAAGGGTACGTGAATCGGCGCTAACTTTGCAATGATTAATCACCGTCGTTATAACTCCTAAGTTTTTAATCGTCCGTATGCAGGCACGCGAGTACATCAGGACTTTGCCTTTCAAGAGGCGTGTTTCGTTCGCTCAGATGTTTCCCGAGGCTAACACACTCGCGCTAGATATGCTTGAGAAATTGCTTGCGTTTAATCCTACAAAACGAATAACCGTTGAAGAGGCGCTGAAACACCCGTATTTGGAACCTGTGAGTAAATTCACGCTGATTGTTTGTTACAAAGTAATCAGAAGTTACAGTATTAATTGTCATTTGTGATTATTACAGTATCATGATCCTGAGGACGAACCGGCAGCTGATCCAATCCCTGAATCATTTTTTGACTTCGACAAGCACAAAGATCAGTTATCGAAAGAGCAATTGAAAGGTACGCGTTTTCGTTTTTGTTGCGTTATCTATTGAAAGTACTAATATAATTTTTTGACAGAATTAATCTATGAGGAAATCATGCGACCAATATAATCATTCCGTATTGTAATTACTATCAAATCTTATTTATTCGAAACGTTTACGGGTATTTATGATAGATATCCATTGATTTGTATGTAAATTGTTTAATCCTCAATAAAAGGACAACAGTTAAATATTCTACAACTATGCAAATTGACTTCATGTTGACTTTTAAAGATCTCGAGTTTCACCTTTGGCGAAGTTGATGCGCTGGTTCTTTTTTATATATATGGTCATGCCCCTTTTTATATTGCCACCGACTATATTTATAACGACGTTTTAGTTTACGAACAAAAACATATGTGATAATTGTAAGGTCACATAGCAGGTCGTACGATTAGATCATGCAGATTATTTCAATACAATATCAATTAATATTAATTAAAGCTATACGTTTTATTTATTATTCTAGAATGTGAATGAAAGGACGAGCTATCGTTCATATTTTACTATCATTTGAGCTATTAGCACTGACTATTTTCACTCAGATATTGATTAGATTTACGAGGTCTCTTGGGAGAAGGTTCAGTAGATGATCCAATTGGTGCCTTAAGAAATTTGTTATTCTGTTAAGAGCGCATTAACAAATGTACATATGAACAATGATAATTACGACTTACCATTGACTCCCTCGGAGAACTTGAACCTTCTGCGAGCTTTCTCTTTCCTGTGGATTTACTACTATTATTAACCTTACGCTTTCTTGGCTCACCTTCGAAAACTTCTTTTGGTAATTGATTGCTGTCGCGCACACAAAGAAAGAGATAGAGTCATAGCTGGAGATGCTGGTAGAAAAGGGGCAGAATGATATAAAAAGCAAAGATTACATACTTTTTCACATATTTTACAGCTACGCCCATCGATTTTTCATCGTATTTATCCCATGACTTGACCATCTTTGTAAATTCACTGGTGGGCCATGAAATATCTAGTTGTTTCGGATTTGAGCCACCTAACAATAGAAAGTTGTCAAGGACATGAGAGTGTTCCAGAAACAACAACAGAAAGAAGAAATAAATAAATAATAAATAAAATAAAGAAGCAGAAGTCCAATGTGAAGCCGCGTAAGTAGCCCTACTATCGGTGTTCATACCAGCGCGGAACTCAATACGTAATCCAATATAAAAAGTCGTAGTGCACACGATCCTCCCCCCTGGTTTTCCTGATCCATCTCTCTTACTATCCTGTATATTTTCGGGGTTGTTCTCTTCACAGTGCTCGCAGATGCCGAAAGCAACATCTTCTGCTTCCTGATCATTTGCGCAATAATGAATCTTTTCGAAACCTTTTACAAATGGGTGTGCTAAACCAAGATTTTCTACTAATTCTAATCTATTGATAAGATGACGAATTCGCGACTCAACCATGCCAGCCCTAGACGATTAAAATTATTGGAATCAGCCTAACAATGTCCGCAAATAAATAAATAGAATCTGAATCTTATGGTCATACCATTTCAACTGACGTTCTGGTGAATCAGATGACGCTATTATTTGCAAATAATATTTGTACCGTTCAAAGAAGTCATGTTTTTTGAATAGCTCCGACCATTTGCCGGTACCAATCATGACCTTGTCGGCGATCTCAGCAGCTAAAATTTGAACATATTAACTTATAATAAGATACATTTTACATATAAAGGTCGAAAGAATAAAATTATCTTACCTCGCTTAAATTCAGATTCAATGATTTTCTTTGTGGAAGCTGTCACATTGTGTGTGGCGCACATAGATGGATAAGCAGGCGTAATTATTGGCATTAAGTGTCCCCGGTCTATAGGATAGAGCTTTGGCCAGATCGTGTTGCACATCACTCATATGAAATGTCCGTTTAATGTTGTTGAACAATGAAGTAAACAATCTCAAGACTCTATATGATCTTACCTTTGGATTCCACACTCTAACTTGAAGAGGACCTTCTTCTATTGGCTTCAGCAACACCGGTTGGGGCCATTTCCTATAAAAGCAGAACGTCTGATCAAAGGCACGACTCATCAGTCACATCATCATAATCAATATATCAAAGAAAGGCTCACCATTGATACATTATTATGAAAAAACGTGAAACTATTGCGCCTGCAATTGCATTTGGATATAGTTGACAGATTCGGGCAACTGACATAGCCCAAGCTACACCACCAAAAAAGCCCATAACATTTGAGTAAATTGCACGCCCTGACATTGGGAACAGTTATGGTTAATAAAAAATCTATAAAGGTCATAATTATGCTCAGGCCGTAATTAACATACTTTTTGCCCAAAGTTTTATGCAACGTAAGGATGTCCTGAAAGCAGGAATGTTTGGAACAAGACGAAGTATTTCGTCGGTCACTCGTGAGCCTTATGAGATAAGGATTGACAATCAGGTATTGGGTAAATGAAAACGCAATATATACATCGATGCAAACAGTACCATTTAAACTCCTAATACAAGGCTCATCTAAATTTTTTAGCAGAGAATTATCTCTCAAATCAAGATCATCTGGAACTTTATTCACACCCAGGCTTGCGAATATCAGATCAATCTACAAAACGTGTTATGTTTGAATAGTTGTAGATAACAGACAACTAAAATGAGCCAATATCAATCATACCGGAATATTTTGAAACTTCATTTTTATCACCGGGACGAATGCGTCAGCAATACTCTACACAATTGTTGGGTATGTCAGTTTTCCTCGATTGTTTCAATAAACTCCATTGCCATTATAGTACCGTCAACTCTGTAACTTCCGTTAATTGAGCAAGAGCATCGTACATATCCTTGAAGAAATCTTCCCGTTGTACATGACGCGGGACAACACATAAAGTATCGATATCGGTACCTGTAAAATGGTAGTTAATATCAAAATCCCTTAACCTTATAACATTCAAAATATTTCGTCAAGAAACGTACCTGTTCCATGAACCCCAAGTCTATAAGATCCAAAAGTAAATATTTTACCGCCTGCCTCTCTGGCGTCGGCTTCTGATAAGCTTTTTTTTAGGCTTATCTTATAAACGAAGTCTTTAACAAGTTTGTCAAGCTTGCCAAGAACTAATTCGCTGTTCATGCAAAAGCAAAACGTAATTAGTGTACGTGATCTCTTCACGGGACCTATGAGCGTAAAGGTTATAACCATCCAATAGGTATGCATACCGCATTCTGCTTTCTTCTTCACTCTCAAAGGTTCCCTGTTTCTTAAGCTCCGCCACTAACAAATCTGTGACTTCTATTTCTTGTTCATTAGGAAAAGCCGTAGCGATAGGCGGTGTTATTCCAAAATGTTTTGGCCGACTGTCGAATAAAAATAGGCAGTCAGCTATAGTTATTGGCCTGTTCTTAATTCACAAGCCTCAGATCAATTTCAGGTGTAAACTATTGCTATCAAGATTTCAACTAGAGGGCTGAGCTGATGGGAATGCTGTGCTTACCCATTGGCAGTTTCTGACATCGCTGCTGCAGTGGTATTATGTAACGACGGTGAGTCGAACAATGTATATATGAATAAATGAAGCGGCTCAAAGTGATAAAATCGATGGAGAATTCAAACAGAAAAACAAGCACTATCCCGTCAGAGCTCGTTCGCCACGATAAATATGAAAACTAAGATCGCACACTTCCGAAGCCTCCAAAATGGCTGAATCGCAAAAAAGAATGCTCATGCACGTTGATTTGCGGACTTGATTTTATCGTATGATGATTGGTCGGATGTCTTTACTTTTGTCATTTTTATTCCATAAACCGAAAAGGCAGTACACACCCATTTACCAGTCACATTGCAGTTTATTCAGCCAAAACGAGTATGCAGGCATAGGCAGAAAAACTCTACTTCTCTCTATTGCTATGAACAAAGAAAGATGCTTCGCTATGACAATAATTACGGAAAATTATACCCTTATTACAACAAAGACGTTTATTCTTACACAGGTTATTTAAAATATTAGTCGTCATATCAAATAGACAAAGGTTCGGGATCTCCTTGTCCCGGTTTAAGTGGCAATAGAGACAGACAGAGGAATAACGACGATAAAACGGGAGATACTATAAAAGTTTAACTTATGAATAGGAAACTCGATATTGCGTCATTTTCAGTTGAAGTAATCGCGGAATCGTCCTGGTCCGGTCCAGGTTCCCTTAAGAAGTCCTCGCCAATATATTTCAGGAATTATCTAACAAAGTCGGAAAAGTAAATTTAATTTGATATAGATCATAAATTCCAACAAGCAGTTAAAACATGTTTACCTCTTTGGTCAAAAAATACATCGATCCACGTTCTTTGCCCTGATCAAACGGAAATGTTTCCATCGGAGTAGCATTGAATCCATTAAACTCTGCCAAGATCAACTTATCACGTCCAACGAACAGTGGACAACTGCAATAACCATCGTATTTGGCGACTGTTAGCGGTGTCAAAGTGCCACGTATTGCAGATAATAGATTGTGTTTCAACACCCCAGATTGAACGGTAATAGCAGCTGCGGTCTTCGAAGTCGGGACCGAAGATGAATCACCGAGCGAGTATATATTCGGATACTTGTTATGCTGTAGGGTGTATTGGTCAACATCCACCCACCCAGCTGCATTGCCTATATTTGATTTCGCAATAAAATCTGGAGGCCCCATTGGCGGTACCACGTGTAAGAAATCGTAAGGCAAAACCGATTCTTCACCGCTTTTGTTTGACTTGAATACGGCTTCCTTTTTATCGGCTCGAATTTCTACGAGCTCATTTGCCAAATTGATTTCTATACCACGATCTTTAGCTACCCTCGTGAGACTATTAGCGTACTTTTCCACACTAAATATTTTACCCATTCCAGTGTTATATATTACGCGTGTTGATTGGCGAACACCCGCATTACGGAAGTGATCTTCAGCGAGATATGCTATCTTTATGGCTGCACCTGGACACTGAAAGGAACAAAAAGGAAAAGGTTTAAAACAAAGTCCTATACCATTCTCGAACATACCCATAAGCATATGCCGGTCTTACTTTTATAGGCGTGCTAGGCATAGTAAAGACAGCATTGCCTCCTTTAAATTCCTGGAGAAATTGCCATGTCTTCTCGACCGAATCCTCAGCATAATTACTAGTGACACCATTTTTCCCAAGTGCTTCGGGTAAACCTTTGACCTTATTCCAATTCAATTGAATGCCTGCCGCGACCACTAGATAGTCGTATTTTATCTACGATTGTGTATAGAAACGTTAGATCAAGCCAAAGGCTTAACAAAATCCCAAAAATATTTACTTGTTGACCATCTTGTAAGACAACAAAGTTAGACTCCGGCTTGACTTCAATTGCTTTGTTCTTAATCCATGAGACATTAGGGGGCATGACTTCTGATTCGGGTTTAGAAGATGCTGAAAATGGTTTGATGCCGCCCCCAACGAGGGTCCATAATGGTTGATACTGTACGGACGAGTATTGATACATGTTAGAACATTCTAGACTTCATCAGTCATACATCTCAAAACGCTCGATAAAATAAAATATTATCATACGTAATGTACACTCGCTGGTTCAATCACGGCGACAGCATTACGACCAAGTACTTCGGACAGAGTTGACGATACTATAAAAGTAGGACGGTACTAATAATAATTAATTCAGTCGACTAAGACTCGGCGCAAACAGTAGCTAAGAGTAACAGTTCGTAAAGTTCTAACCAGCTAAACCTCCGGTGCCCCCGCCTACATCATTATTGAACTTAGAGTTAGCTCTCTCAACAATATCGTTTGTAATAGAACATTATAATAAATAAACATACCCACGACAACCACTTGATAGGAGGACTGGCTTGGATTTGAAGACGCGAAACGCCTGTTGGATGGGAAGCGGCTGAGTCTAGAAAGAAGATGTTTTCTGGCAAACATGGCGAACAGTTGGAAGAATTGCGACGCGGAAATATTAGATGATGGTTGCTGAGTACCCGATCTTTTTAAAAAAAAAAAAAAGAAGCGGACATCCCAAATATGGTTATGATCGGTACCTTTTTCGGAATTTGGGCCATTTCCAAAGTCGTTTCGGGGAATTCTTGAAATGGGTTGATGTGACAGATAAATTTATTTTCATTCAGTCGCATTCTCCCCGACCCGAAGATTTCAAGCGTAAAGATTTGTCTTGTCTATTTGCGTTCTAAACAATTTAATCCAACATTATACTTCGTGACTTGTTATCAACGTGTTTAAAAAAAATTCTTATATCAATAATTATAACAACGCGTGCCATAATTTAATGTATGAACCAGTTTCGCTATAAATTAACAAGTCATGAAACTAAATTTCGTCTACTAACAATCAGAGGGACAGCATTGTATAGAACATCAGCTATCGCTATATTGGGGTTTTAACAATTCTGTGCTTTTAGTGTCACGAAAAGAAGACTACTAATACTTTAGTAGTCATAACGTTGTTATTATTGACGCGTGTCTGTTTTCTCTATTGTCCAATAGTTTTATAAGAATGACGGTCATAGAATATTGTATCTACAATGAATATAGCATATTAATATGACGTAAAAGTTGGAGCGAGGAGCGTTCATAATCCATTGCAGTCACATTTTACTCTTACACTCTGTCCAAAACCTTCTCTATGTACGGTGCTGTCGTGCCAACTACTGCGGGAGAGCGTTCAGTAATTGGCCGTGAGGTTTCGAATCTAATTTCTACTTTTTAGTATGGCTTTAATTAAATAACTGATCGGTATAACGTGGATTTTCAACTAACTGCAATTGCCACAGCTATGCCCCTACCCCAAATCGGTGGGTTAGTCCGTGGGATATAACGAGATTACATTACACCAAAGTATGCGAGTATATTAGTAATGTTTGAGAATTGATGGATAAGATCGCTTCTACCCAGCGATCCCGGAATCCACTAAAGTGCCGGGAATAATTAATGTCCAATTAATTTTTGCTAGACTGCTAATATATGTTTAAACTGTTTACTAAACTAATTATTTATCGGATGAGAGATAGGACTCACCACACCATAATACAATTTCCTTATCAAAATCTTTTTTGAGCACTCCACTCGTCATCGTATATAACCACATTATAGTACGATAACGCGTATAATCTGTCACAGTTTGTGACAAAAAAAAGGACCTTATAATACGATTTCATTGTAACGAGTTCTACTATAACGAGCGTTGACTGTATTCTCTTCATTCCGAGACAATTGACAAGCACTTACATAGAAAATGAATGTTTCTAAAGCAAATTTGAACCAGCTGTGGTTACACTACAAGAACGTCTTCTCTAAATTATTAAATAAAATTATCCATGACGTAATGTGGTGTAAACGTCTTCCCTTAAACTATATAAATGTCTTTCTAAGCATCAAAAATGATTTTTACGTGCTCACGTGAATCAGCTTATTCGCACGGAATTTGTGATTCAGACGTCTTCACAAAATTTGGTCCTTACATTTTGTCTCCAAAGTTTCGTCTCTTTATTAGACGTAACTAAGGTGGACTTCTAAAGCTACTTACTTTATCTCCAAAGGTGGCATCTCCACCATCGCACAATGCCCATCATGAGTTGCTCACAATTAATATATTGTAAGTTTCAGTTAGTTGATTTTAATAAATATAATAAATTAGCTCGTACAGTCGTTTTTTCATAGTGATTTACCTCCCTTACGTAATATCATGCATTCTTTCACGGAAGAGATCCAATAATTTTATCAAGAAACGTGTATTTCCTTATGTATGTTTGGTATGATGGCGCCAGTTATAGTTATTCCTGAGCATCTTTGTGAATTGGGACTCATTGAGTAAACTTTAATATTAAGTGATTCGTGATCGATTTTTGCAACAGAGAAAACCTCAAGAGTCTATGCACATAAAGATTCTTCTTAGAATCGCTTTGCCGGAAAATATAATTGATCAACGGCAAAATATTTTTACATAAGATTCGCCCATATTGTACAGGATTTTCATATCCGTCTACATTCAGATTGTTAATGCAAGAAAATCTTGACGGCCTCTTTTGTGTTCGTGCTTCCCGAACTTCGTAATTTAATAGGAATAATACGCTGATTGTTGTAAAAACTTCGGTCCACTATTTGTAAAACAATAAATACGAAATACCATCTTTGTATAAGTCACATGCTAGATCATTAAGACGAAATTTCTCTCTCAAGACTAGAATCATCATTAATCAATATAACGAGTAACCTACAATATAGACAATAATGAATGTACATATTACAGTAATCCATAAATTGCAAATGTATTTGGAGCAGAAAACTGAAGATGGCAAAAGACGGGGGTAGTCATTGTCTGCACCTTGACTACGTTTAAAGAAAACTTGTTGGTGATTTTGCCATCTCTTTCTCGTCTTTGGCGTATGCGAACCTTCGACATAGACTAATTGAAATTTGTCGGTATTGTTTAAATGTATTACACCGTCCGCGCATTCGCGTTTATGGTTTTTGTGCTTATCTCTTCGAGCTCGTGGTTTGTGTGATGGGATTTTCTAATGTAATCAAAAAAGGATTTTCTGATACAAAATTGGGATACCATCTCTAGAAAGAACTTGATGACGGGAACGAAAAATTGATTCCATTGAACGTCCAATGGTTCCAAAGATGGGAGACTTCAGCTTGCTTGTAAAAATTCGAATTGGGCTTCAAAGCAGAGTATAAAACAAATATTATAAATATAGCCCTAAACTGTACATCACAAGATACATATACCCACTGCTAATATTTCCTATTTTACGTAACCTCGTCTGCTCCTAACGCAGTTAGTCTTCGTAAATGTCATATACGTCATGCAATGCGTCAGTAAATGTGGGATATGATGCTGAAACTGAACTAACCAAAGACGATACGTTTGTACGGTCCTCAACAATAAGCTGAACTTCTGGTATCGAATAGCGACTTTTTTTTACAGCTTTTTACTTTCTTCAAATGCCTGTACGTTCCATTGATACACTGAAAGAGTTATCATTAAAGTAAGTAACTTATTTTCGTAATCGTTCTTTTAAAAACGGTTACTAACACTTCCTTCGATTCGAACTACTGATACACATCGTTAAAGGTCTTCTATTATTCATTAATAGACATTTTTACATGATTCTTAAATTCATCTTGTATTAGTTCTTTGTCAGTTTAAGAATTTGCGTTTTAGGCATTTGAGATTTCAATTCTTAAATTGAAAAAAGCGAGATGGCTTTTGATGTTTCCATTCCTGAAAAACGTTAATAAAATATTTAATAACATTATTTAACATTAATTAGGAACAAGTATACAGCCTCGGTAAATAGGCCTCTGGAGAGACATCTGCACACTAGACGTTAGGTAAGCAAGCATCAACCGTACGCGTAATATCGTAAAAACGTATAAATAAAGATTTGCTTAACTCGTGTTTAAACTTGATTACTCGATTGATACATGCAAACAAAAAAGTCGCGTACAACGATCAGCCCAATGATAATAAGACGTAAGGATGATGCAGCAAGTGATAAAGAGAAATCTATTTATTCTTATTTGATTAAGATCTATTACTCGTTTTATTCGATCTAACTTTGTCACCAAACGATCTAAAACCTTTGTCTAAAACATTTCACTAATTCAAATATTATGTCGTAAACGCTGCAAATCAAGCATGCCTTCTGATGCAACAAATGAATTATCTGGTTAATTCGACTATCGCAACGCCTCAAATAAAGGCTTTTCTAAAATCTCATAAACTCTACAATCATTTGTATTTGCTCATCGCTTTCGGATAGGACTGCTTTTAATAATGTCATGTCATAATCGTCTATTATATCAGCATCAAGCATGTCACCAATAGTACTGCTGCGCCGAATCATGAGTTAAGTTTCCCTTTTCTGTAAAGAAAACTCTTGTTTTGTTGATTGGAAAGAACGTCTTTTACGCGACAGGGGAGGAGGACATGACACATAGAGATTATCTATTGTGTTTGTTAATTAATGATTACCGGGGGAAATTCATAATGGCTAAAGAAGCAAGACGAAGAGAGAAGAGCGCGCACAAAAGACAAGACATAACCATGATTTTAATAAACCTGATCTGCGACAATAACAATACCTTGCTGTGAATAAAAACAATACCTAAAAATTCGACGTTATTGTATTCATCATCACATAACTAGTCAGATGTTTAAATATGGTCAGATAAACCAATGCCTACAACTTTTTTCTTTCTTTATTACCGAATCGGTTTTCGTTTCGATTGGCAATAATAAATGTCTTCCAGCATAGTGATTAAAGGCTTCTGTACAAGAATAATAGGTCAAGCGGGTAAAAAAGTGTGCATAAAAATACCGGCTAGTGAAATCAAAGATACTACTATAGAAAGCCTATAGACTTAATTCAGTCTAGATTTTCTTCAACAAATTAGAGGCAATTCGAAGAAGCAATTATCGAAAGAGCTGTTACCCATGTGTAAATTACCCAAAAATTATAGAGCGTGAAATGAATTTCGTTGCTCTATTAAATAACATTTCACGTAATTGTCGAGTTATGGCTTCCAGCACCATATATATATATAACCCAACCCAGAAATTATCGTTTGGAACCGGGCATATTCTAGCAATATTGAGGACCGTTCTCCCGAGCTAGATTCCATCGTCGAAGTGGAAGAAGAGACAAAGTCAATCTCTGATAAATTAATATAAGTATACTGTATATCTTTTATCAGTCAAAATTAAAGAGAGGCCCATTCAGTCCGCGATCCGGCATTTGACAAATTTGACCAATGGAATTGCGGAGAGATCTGCTCCGCTCTAGACATGCCTTCAATTAGAACACATCATAGAGTTGAGTCAGTACTTCAATATTAACATCCAAAAATTGAGACTTTGGTATCAAAACTTTACGACAAAGCGTACAATGAGTCAAAAAACACGGGAGAGGATGCAACAACCATGCTATACCAGATATCATCAAGAATCTCGACGGGGAAAGCTCCTCGTTGGACTATAACATGTGTACATACCGGACAATGTTTAAATCGATCAGGAGCTTCGAATGCTGATTTTTAGCACATCTTTGTTAATTAACTGCTTCTGTTTTTTTATACATATGCTTGTAATCTTTACATCTGGCAACACTAAGACCAGTACCTCAACTCTCTTGGATATATATCAAATTGTATCGCCGTTTGCTAGCTCTGCGTCACTTAATCAGACTTGTCTATTAGAACACAAAATATAGATATTCGAAGGCTTATCAAGAATGTTATCAAATATGCTTTCTCAAGAGTGAAATTCTCAATTGACAGATTTTCGCTTTGCCACAAAGGAGGTTTACCAATCTTTCGCCAAATAAAAATCATCCAATGGTATTAAAATTTTCATTGTTTAATTATCCGGACTTGAATAATAATATGGCCATCTGACCAAGGTAGAAATAGATGAAGTGTTTCGTTTCTACAGTCGTTTGGTAATTGCCGTATATACATAATGAATTAGTTGGTTTCCAAGATTCGAATAAATAAACGACATAAAACCTCACCATGCGTAACATAACTTCCGAAATTCCTTCCGACAATACAATGCCAGGTGCTTCCGTGTTTCTTATCGAACTCACGTTTGATATAAGCAGCAATGTCTTTCTCGATAGGATACTTATCAATGGCTAAGCGAGCGACTTCTATAGCTTCCTGTTGCATTTCTTCAGTCATATCAACATTCTTGATCACTGGTTTATTGTCCGTCATTGGGGTACTACTAACCGACATTGCGAGTCGTAGTAACAAGTCGATGGAAAGAAAGTGGAGAAAGTGCCTTTGAACATGAGGTTAGCAAATTGCATTTGTATTGTTGTTAAATGAATGTGATTGGGCGCTCAGCTGAATGTATTATAAGTTTGCACGTGTCAAAAACTGATCGATCGAAAAATTTCTCATGAGCAAAAAAGAGCTTTGATGTCCCAAAATGTAAAATTGACGAATAATGTGTCAACGTTAATGTGAAGCTTAATGATTTCTGTTTATCTTGTAGCCATCAACGTGAACAGGTCCTGCTGTCTAAACTCAATATCAAGTAAAATTATCTTTAACATCTCCCAAGGAAACAGCTATTTTTGACCAACGCCATGCTCTTATACATCAAGCGCGCTTATTTCAACGTTTAAAAACCGAAAACCATTTTTTGGCCCCTTGTAACACTTCTCTTTTAGGCGAGCTATGCAATTATCAGCTTGTTAGATGCAAAGTAGGGATCAGTCAATGACAATGAGAACAGAAGGACGAAAAATAAAATAGAGACAATATTATTACATCGAGCATCCGGAAGGGACATGGATTTGGTTATAATACACGGATTTACGAAATAGCTGGGGTTCAATCAATTTTCTTTGTATTTGGAAATGTTAGAGCACGTCACTCGCAGACTATGGAAGTAGCACATACAACAAAAAAAAGAGATTGCTAACAAGATTATTTTAAGAAAAATGGGCAGTGAACATTGATGAGCTTTGCGCGTCTTATTATTATTGGATCACCCAACAAGCCGTTCTTGCTCAGAAACGGAGAAATCAGAATTAGTCGAACTTTTAACAACTTCGGATGGACGGACCGGAAACCGTGAATTCAAGCAGATCGTCTTCCGCATTGCGTTCGCAGACTTGATGTCCTCACGGTATGTAACGCAAATCCATCGTAAGTGTTTGCATCCGGAAGACGATTAACTTCTTTCTTATGAAACACCACCTTGTTGTTGATTAGTGTAAGTTGTTCGTTCTCATAAATATCATTAACTAATCAGAATAATTGTTGTTTTGTATATCTATATCATAAAGCTATAGCTTAATCCACAACAAAGCTCTCCACGCTAATTATTATGGAGAGCTCGCACCCCTTAGCATTACCGAGCGACTCTCCAAATTTTACTATAAAGTTGAAGAAGGTATGATTCAACATAATAACTGATTATGATCATAATAGGGGAAAACTCATCAAAGCTTGATAAAAAAGAGATGTCTTTTTCCTATCCACAGGGTAAGAGGTGGACTAAAGCAGCTTTTTTATTCTTTTTCTTCTTCTTCTTCTTCTTCTTCTTCTTCTTCTTCTTCTTCTTCTTCTTCTTCTTCTTCTTCTTCTTCTTCTTCTTCTCGTTCGATAAAAGATTCAAATGACGTACATAATATTTTACGGATTCATCTGCATTGCCAAATTTCGCTACCTCTGCTTACTTAGTCTAGCGTGCGCATAGTTCGACAAGAAAGTTGTAATAATCGTATTGCAGAATTTCGCATTTCCACAAACAATGACTGTATGATGTATTTCTGGAATGCTCATTCCTTATTTTGAGAATTAAGTAAAAGTTGGTCCAAAAAATCTATATAAGCATGAACGGAAATGCTTTGTATACAATCATTAATATCAGTGAGTTTATGAATGTGAATACTGCCGTTGTCCTGGACTGTGAATATCAAAAGACGCCCGGATTCCTATGGCTACGGGTTACAATTTCCTAGATAATGGAATCGATGCGATGTATCATGAAGTCGATATTAAGCACCAAACATCCGGTATTAAACAGCTTCACGTATAAAGATGGGCCCAGAAGAATAAATTTCTTGTCAAAGAAGGCTTGGGTTCTACTCGTAACTTTTGAAGACATACGGGAATTTTATTTAGCGTAATTCCAAAGAACTCATTCCCCTCCTCCCCTCGACGAGAAAGGCTATAATACAGAGCGTGTCATCGCGTAGAGTATTATCTATGATATTATTACTGTATGACAGGTATATAAACCAAAAGTGTGATTATATATATAGGCTGTATATTAATATAGACATAAACAATCGAAAATAATCACTTATCAGTTCGATTTAAAAATTTAAAGTCTTTTAATTTAAACTTTTTTTTCTTCCCATTCTCACCAGGAGATCCAGTCATATCTTCACCACTCGACTCCTTGTCATGATTCCGCGTATCTTTGAGAATCTGATCATACACGCCTTTGAGCACTACCATATTAAGTGCAACATCATCTCGGAACAATAGCGATGATTGTCCTTTCAAGGAATGATGTATAAAATTATTCTCATCTAGCGAAACGGTATCACTGGAAGGGTATATCATGTGCTCAGTTATTCCATCACTATTATCAATTTCACGGAGTCTTTTTAATATAGAATCGTGCATCCGCCAGAGAAGCGTTCGTTCTACATGAAGAGGTACCTTCTGCTGGTATGGACTAATCTTGATATCGGCACCACAACTATCATCTTGGAGTACTGTAAATCCAGCTACTGGCCATTGACCAACGTAGAAATAATCCAAATTACTCAATCTACCCAGTGTTGCAGGAAGACTTTCAATAGGATTTCCGGATATTTTCAATGTTCGTAGATTAACGCAACTACCAATTGAGAAAGGAAAGCCTGTAATAAAATTGTCTGATATATCCAAAACGCGTAGATTCTTCAAGCGACCTATTGACTTTGGTATCACTTTGATTTTATTGTTAGAAGCAAGAAGCTCTTCAAGACTTTCCAATTGTTCGATCTGTTCAGTAAGGTCAGTAATACGGTTATTGGATATGTTAAGAGTGACTAATTTATCCATGCCATCGAGCCTCGGCATCACATCCAGCAGATTAAACGATACGTTGAAAGAAGACAAATCTTTGTATGCAACTCCCATCTCAAACGATATCTGGCTTATGCTACAATTCTGCAAATGGACGTTCTTCACCAATGGTAGTTTCTTAAGAGTGTCTGGAACCGCCGACAAAGATGGATTATCATTGAACTTGATTTCCGTCAGCTTAACGAGCTTACCAACATCTTCCGGAATAACAGCTATCTTATTGTGTGATAAGTCCAATTCCGTTAGCGCTGTAAGTCTGCCGATATCGTTAGGCAGGTTGGCGATCCGATTATTATGAAGATCAAGAAATGTCAACCGTGAGAGTTGACCGATTTTCTGCGGAATAGATTGTATCATATTTCCATGTGCATCCAATTTAGTTAATTTGTTGCATTTTGCAAGATCGTTCGGCAATGCAGTCAGATAATTATTGGAGACATCGAGTGTCACTAGATTTTCTAAGTCTCGAATATTGTCCGGTAGTTGTGTCAGTAGATTTGATTGTATTTCGAGCACTTGTAAATGTCGCAGTGAAGATATAGAAGCTGGTAATAATTGAATATTGTTATTATTCAATAGAAGTGCGGTCAAATGTTTTAATCGCCCAAGAGCCTCTGGCAAAGCAAGTAGTTCATTATTGTTCAGGTATAGAAGTCTTAATTTGTTCAGTCGAGCTATGTCCGGTGAGAGTGTACTCAAAAAGTTATTGTTAATTCGCAATTCTCTTAATGTTTTTATCTTACTAACTGTAGACATGTCTGAAAGTACATTGTTGTCCAAATTCAATCTTTTTAAATTACGCAAGCGTCTGAACTTCAATCGGGGATTAAATTCAGTTATGCAATTATTGCTTAAATCAAGTAATTCTAACTTCGAAAGCTTAAGTAATTCCTCTGGCAAATCACGTAATAGATTCTTGTCCAGATAAAGCTCTTTTAAACTATGTAGTCCATCAAAAAAGTGATTGGGAATATAGGATAGTTGGTTATTGGTAAGTCGTGCCGGGCCACTTTCTGTCGACGCCTTATTCACCAACGCATCCCACGCAGACTCTACTGGCCAATCTGACGTATGTGACATCGAGTCTGAAAAGTTACTGAAAGCTGACGGATCCTCAGAATTGTATGATTTTGCAAACGACGATATTGATGCAGCTTCTGCTGCAGTGTCAGCTGTTATAGTCGTTGTAGTTGTTGTGGAAGTTTGACCGAATAGTAAGTCTATAGTGGTGTGGAGCGGGGAGACGTATTTGGGGTGCCCGGGGGGAGGATAGGTGCTAGAGAGGTCCAGACTCTCAGAAGTCAGCAGTCCAAGCTCTGAATCTGTAAGTAAGTGTGTTCGACCAACAGTGAGAGTGTTGGAGAATTTTGTTTGAGGAATGTCTTTTGGAGGCGGTATTGGTTTGAAATCTTTTGGGGGTACTGGAGGAGCTGAAGTCGCCATCGAAGACGGTACAGGAGATGAATATTACTATATAATGTTAGTCTATATGTATATTGGCAGTGTTGGCATTGTTTCTTCTATGGGAGAAGTGGTTAACGGAAACGATGTCTCTCACGTTAGTTCAATACATTTGGGCGGTGAATAAGAAGTTCAAAAATAGGAAAGAGATCTCGAAAGGAAACATTTTCGTATTAATGTGTAGTAATACTAAGAATGCACATGATCAACTTCATACACTTTTATTGGCTATTTATAATTAGTATCGTGGGAGTTAGGGATGAGAATGTAGAAAAAGCATGGGTTTTCAGGGACCAAACATTTGTAACAATGATAAGTAATAATGTGTGGTCACGTGATGAAATGCACTTCTAATCATATTGAACTAAAAGCGCGCATTAATATACAGTAACAATAAATTTTTGATTATATATGTTCTGGCCCAACTATTGTATACGTCAATACTTTAACTATTGTACGTGATGATAAACGCGCCCGAGCGCCTCGCACTCCCTAATAAAATACGTCTGAAGCTTTTCTTTTGAGGAATATCCCTGCTTTGTTCCCCCATCGACTAAGTGAATGGAAAAGACATTTCATTTGTATGAGTTGCGAATCTTCTCACCTTTTTCTGTCTCGGTCTCTTAGCTTAATAGACAAAACGTTCATATTAGCATCAACTATTTATAATCTGAACAAAAAGATAGCATGTACCGGCAGAGCTAATCCAGAGTGCTGTGGACGCATGAAATCTTTTAAGACTTGTCTTGAGTTTGCTGAAATTGTCATCAAACATCGTTCAACTTGTGTTTGGGGGATGCCAAATCGGATTCTGTGGGAATCAACAAGGGTAGAATATAAATCAACAAGCAAAAATTGTTAAGTTACACTACTTTATGTCCCCAACGTCCGAGTCGTTTACCTGGTTGCATTATATTCATGAACGGCGTGAGGTTGGCAGTGGCAAGCGACCTTTTCGCCATCTTGGGGAGTAAATTTCCGACTGTTGCAAATGCTGCATTTTGACGAAAGGTTCCGTCACAGCCTTTCATTGTGAGCGTGATTGTTTTTTCCTGCATAGTGATCTAGGACCTCAACAGCTTCGATGCCCGGATCAAATTTGGAAATTAATGCAATAAGGTGGGGGCATTTGGGGGCATCAATTTGAACTTATCAAAGGGCATCGACTAATTGGAAATTGTTTATTTTCACATGACTTAATCCTGACATCTCATGATAAGAATATTATTAATCCTCTGTTATATTACAAATTACATCATAGATAGAATTACATGTTTTAGTTTACACAAAATCTAAATACAGTATTACTTATTTGGAAAGAATTGATGCCCCTACTTCCTGTTCATTTAGGGGCTGTTGAGCCTATATACATCACTAGCTTAGTCGATGACGTATTATTAGGATCTTTTCAATGTAACCCGTATACAATGATAATTAATGAGTGAGCTTGTTGCAATTAACACGACATATAACAAATCGTATTAGTATCTACAAAAACAACATTTTAATAAACACTCATCAAACGTGATATATAGCTCATAGACACGCTGGAATACGGTAATTTACATAAAACAATATGCCAACAACGTCGTTTTTACGACCGATAAGAACTTTATTATTCAAACCAAAACTAATAGTACCACTACTACACTCACCACGACACACTTTCGCCGGCGACAGCGCCGATTAACGCCCGAACAATATTAGGGCCACCTATTATAAAAGAGTCGAGTTACATATGCTAATGTCAGAGGTTGCCATTATGAACCAATAAAAAATGCAACAATAATAAATCTTCCTAATTTTTAGGGCAATAATATTTATGCTATGCCGAGTTTTTTTTCCTTATTATTTAATTTAATTTATTTGAATATGTATTATACTTATTTATTATACAGTGGTCGTCATAAATATCCGGAATTTAATCTTACAGTAAAAAAAATTCTATTTTTATTATTTCTGTATGCTTA